AAAAAAAAAAAAAAAAAAAAAAAAAAAAAAAAAAAAAAATTGAAATTCAATACAAAAAAATATTTATATTTTGAATATTTCTAATGGTATGTATGTGTTAGTCAATGGCTTTTAGAAGTGGTTTCACATAAATGATGAACGATGCGATTGCAGTTAGCGAACATGCATAAGAAGCCCTGTTATATACATACACACGTTTTGCGCATTGTCTGCCTTTTGGCTTTGAGTTGGAAGTTGAATAATGCTTACTTGTTTTTGCCAGCGTTTGTATTGAATTTGAATTCTCTGAATTTAATTCTGAATATGTTATTATGAATATGTAAACGTTATTTGTTCATACCTACAATTTAACTGCAATTTTTCCTTTTCTTTCTTTTCTGTTTCTTTACCTTAAATGTATGTTGAAAATCTTAACCAAAACAAAAAAAACTCACTTGAACCACAACTGTTAACGTCACGGGCGAAAACACAACCACCACCACCACCACCACCACCACCACCACCACTACCACCACCACCTTATCTTCACTGTATCTTTACTATCAATACCATTGCCACCGCAACCACGGCTACTCTCTACCACAATAACCACCAAAACAAATTCTTATAAATCCTTAAAAAAAATAAAAAAAAAATGTGCATATGCAACGGCTACCACAAATTATAGGACATTACCAGCGAAATACCCCCATTGCAGCCAGTCTGCAGTGAGGAAGTTATTTTCAATTGTCGTCAACAACAACAACAACAACAACAGCAACAGCAGCAAAAACAGCCTCAACAACAGACGCCTACAACTGCCGCCACTTCTATATTCAAGGAACGACAACATCAACAGCAACCATTACAACCGCTCAATACTCAGAAAACTAAAATTATTACAAGATCACAGTCATCAAAAGTTATACAAGATCTTCAGCATAATCATAATCAACGTTCATGGCATCAATTGAAACAGCAACAATCGTTGCCTACACCATTGCACGCCAACAACGGAGGCAACTCCATACCGAACGGCCATAATCATCCCAAATCGGTATCAATACTCGTATATAAAACGTTGAATACCGTATTCAAGAGCAGTCGTAAGATAATCGTACGCGTATGCGAGGTGGCTAGTGTTAGAAAGAGCTTCACCATGTTTAAATTTAATAAAGCCGCTCAACAGAGCCGAGCCGACGCTAGAGCCAATGCTTGTACCGGTCACGATCAATTTGTACGACCACCTGTATCCGATAAGTGAGTCCTATGCTCAAAGAAATTTAAACAGAGAAAAAATTTATATTTTTTAATTTATGATAATTTTATCTTTTTCTTTCACTTTAAAAAGAACAACAAAGCAGTAGTGACTTTTACATAGCGATTACCATTTTCCTAAAAACGAAAGTTTTTAACGAATTTTCTTTTTCGCATGAACGTTTCAATGTTTGCAAAGTAAAATGAAAAATCAAGTCAATCAACATAATAGTTAATCAAATATATAAATACAAGTGTGTAAAATAGAGAAACGAAATTGAATAATATTACTATCGAACCAAACTAACTAAAGTGAAAGCACGTTACATAAAATAAACACTAATTGAATGCACACAAATTGAATAGAAAATGCAGTAAAAAGGTTTTATTCACCTGGGATTGAATCTTGATGGTGCGTCATATCTCCAAGATGCAAACTCAAGCAAGTGAGAGCATTACGGCCCGTAAGGTCAAAGTAATAAATACCACGCACCACTTGGCCGATATAACACAATTTTTTTTTTCGTGAAAATATACCAAATATTATTTCTCATTTCTAAGTGAAGACATAGTTTGCACGGCAGACTTTTTATGGAAGCGTGCTCGAAACTTTAACTAACGTAGCCCACACTTAGCAAAATTAACTTTCGTGTCAAATGTCGTCATAAGATCGTAATGTGGTAGAAAGGCTTGCTTTTCGTTATGCTTCGCGGGGTTCAAAAAACAGATTTACGCGGTCCAAATTTGCTACAGCTCATTCTTATGCCAACTTGTTATTATGGATCAATATTTCCTATAAAATATTAAAAATTATTCCGCCTTGCAAAGGTCTACTTTTTAGAGAGGTAGAGGATCCTCTCAAAATTAGACCAATGGATGCAAATTTTTTACATCACTGCAATATGCCGAATGCCCTCTATCTTTCATATAATGGCTTTCTCAGTATGAGCCGCTATACGACGAATACACGCAAAGGAGATCCAATACACTTTTTATATCGTTCTTAAGCCAAAACACATCAAGGAACTAAAATTTTATGAAAATATTTCAAATATTGTGTATGTGTAGGATGAAGTCAAAAATCAGACTCATGGACGGACTAACGTAAATAGATTCAGAAATTGATTCTAAAACTTAGTGCTTTATGAGGACTAAAGTTGAACTAATTCAAATAATGATTCTAAATCCATCGGTATAATAAACCATAATTATTTCGTAGATCCTGCCGACCGTTGCGTATACCAACGTAAACTCTATACTCTCTGTACGACAAATGATGGAGGCTGCAAAAACTCGTAGCATGTCACAAAGTTACATATGATAAATTTGTAGATGGCTCAGATAAATGCTGTTGCCAAGTTTCTGTCGCTGCTTATAAACGTTTCAGAATGTTGCCGGTGAAAGTATGAAATTTTCAGAGCTTTACTCATGAGTAAGTCGCGGCCTTTTTCCAAAATTGATATATAGTATTTAGGTAAAGTCGTATAGACAAGTCGGTAGATGCACGAATTGCTGAAAAGCGCTCGGACAAAGACCTTGTTGCAGTTGTAATATAATGGGCACACAAGAGGTCAAACGGGCGACCATTACATTGGAAAACATACAAATGGGTAGAATAAATGGAAAGATCACGGCCGAGTGGGCTACTAGATAGTCTATGACAGTGATAAGCAAACGCAAAATCAGGCGAGGAAACTGTAGATCAAACGAGGAAATAGAAAGGCAGGACAAATTGAGACCGAGTGCAAACAAGGACGAAAAAATTGGCAGAAAAGTGATAAATAGACGAGAGTAAAGATAAGCAAATAGGTGGACAAGTTGACTGACTGGCAAAAGGGCGGTCGATGGGAGAAGAAGCAAAAGAACTGAGGGATACGTGTATAAATAACGGACGATTGGATAGAAGAGCAGCGCAACGTGAGCAGTTGATGGATAAATGAGTGAAACGAAAAAAGCGAGGCAAGACTAATGGGCAGACTTGAATAAACCGACATAGAGTCTCAAAAGGATCAATACACAAGTCGAGGGTAATTTTCGATCAAAACGCTTGCGCACTGCTCTTTCTTCAACCGATGCTCGAAAAATAATTTGCAATTCGAGAATATTTTCCATTCTCCTAGCCGTGTTGTCTCTTAGACACAAGAAAACAAAAACAACATAAGAAAATAAAAGTTCTCAAAAGAAAATTCCCTTCAGCGATTATAATAAAACGTAATTTTTTTTCACAACTTAGACCTTCACTTTATAACACGCGAGACTTCATTTACCTCTGCCGCGGTAGAACTTTTTTTCATAATTATAGTTTGACATAACATGAAAGCTACAATGACTTGAACTGTCATTCATTTGCTGCCAAATGGCAGCAAAAATAAGCAATTGTTTTACGGCGTATTAAGAAATAAAATGAGACCACAACTTAATGATATATAAAAAACACAGTAAATACGCCACTTGACGCAGCGGATACTAAAAATGAAAGCATTAAACAAGAAAAAAATTTACCGCACATTCATCCAAAGAAATGTATGGGTAAATCAAGTTATAACTTGCTATTTTAAAAGCACTAAAAAGTTAAACTGACATTGCCCCGTAAGGGGAATATGTGCTAAAATCGTTCAATCAAAAAGTTGCCATTTCAAAAATAAAAAAAATAAAAAAAAACTGGAATCTTGTGTGTCCGTCACGGTCTTTAATAATTTATAGTAAAAGATGACGGGATGTAAAGAGCGTACGTTCGCACATTATTGCTTAAAGGAACAGGCGTGTTTTCAATTTACGCTCTACTGGCGTGTGTCTCCCCTCTCCCATTTACTGCGCTTTCAATACCGACCTACGTGCAAGAATTTCCTACACAGATTCGCACAGACCCACACATGGGCAGATATGGTTAGATCAAAAATAGAATTTCACGTCGATCAAGTCTGTATAAGCACTTTATAGAATCTTTGAAACGTTCGTTTGGATGATTATTATGAATACGCCCTTAGTCTTCGGTGGTGAGTCTACCGGAGAGCCTTTTAATAGCTAGTAGTTCAATTAAAAATAAAGAATTAAGAAAGCGTTTCTAATTAGAACGGCGTAAAAAGAATGCTATCATTTTCGCCTAGAGTTCTTGCTAAAAAAGTCATACTCGTTTCATAGACCTTATGAAAAGCTTAGCAGCGGTAGGATGTAAATTGTTCGGACAATGCAAAGAAACATGTCTGCATTAATTCTCCGTACTTAAAGCCGTTAATCTCATCAATGGCACGATTCCGAAAAGGGATAAAAATCCGTGTCTTCTTCAAAAACCGTCTGCGGAAACCGTTACCCCTTCCAATTATTCATTTTGTTCAGTGCTTTCCCTTTCTGCTCCCCAATGGCTGCTTTCTTCATACTGACGTCGCGTACTTTTGTCTTTGAGAACGAAATAAACTAGTTTGTCGCAAAAAGATTGAAATGTTGGTCGTGGCGACTCCGTAAATGCGCAAATCTTTATTATTCCTCTCACCCCTATTTTTAATGGTCGCATTGCTAGCACAATTCGGCGTTTAATTTCATTTTCATATGACTCGACGTACTATTCGGAATGCCAACTTTTACGTATTTCACGCAAACGGCATGTTTCGAGGTTCGAGGGTCGGACGACTTCTTAATTTCAAAGAAACATATTTTTTTTCAGGCAATGAATGTTTTTCCATTTATTCTTAACGTGTTAAAGCATATATTAAGCCGATTAAGATTTCGAATCACTTTCTGAATAGATCTAAGCTTGTCCGTCCGTCGGTCCTCTTTGCTTCCTTGCTCTACCAACATACTGAAAGTTCTCGGAAATTTGGTGTGGAGTCCTTTTGAAAATGGTTTGGATCGAACCGGTTTTTCGACTATTCCCCATACATCGCTTTACTTAGCAAAGACGTTATATGAATTAAGTGAAGTGAAATGGGGCAGTTAACGGTAAACCGTATTTTAAAATTACGTATATTATAGGCGGTGTTTAACGCATCGATGTTTGCACACAGCATGCAGTACTAATGGGATGGGAACGAACGTTTGAATGCCTTCTACCATTTACAATCCATAAGAAAAATATATACATATGTAAATAAAAATAATAATAATAATAATGGATTAGCTTACAGACTTTTCCATTGTTATGTGAATTCACCTCACCACTGCTTTTGTAAACGTCAAAAAAAAAAAAAAAAATCATAAAAAAAAAGTTACATAAGCATTTACAAGCAATTCATCATCAATTTCTTACAACATATAACATAAGAAAAAAAATGTATTTTCTTCTCTTCGCTTCGTATTAAAGAAAAGCAAAGCACATTATAAAAAAACTGAATAAACAAAATGGATTGAAACGCTCGAACTCAGCCATCGAATTTGATGTATCTGCCCTAACAGCCGCCAACCGACGTAATCTTTATTGCAGGTAATTTAAAAATAAAAGCAAATCAATTACGTTTATAAATGTATTATTACACATAACACAAATGAATTAATTTTCAATTTATAAGTTCAACTTTCTCATATAATTTGCTTATATAATTAATTACAAAATTATGATACAATAAGTGCCGAAAAATTCGCTTAATTATATCGATTAAAAGCTTTATAATATACAATTTTCAATTTTTCTTCTTTAACGTATATTTTTATTGCAATCCGTTCCGCTAAATTAGATGAGAAATCGTAAAAAACAGAAAAAAAAAAAACAAAAAACAAAATACAAAGAAAAAAAAAAGCAAAAATAAAAAATAAAATGAAAACAAAATTCATTGCATTTTTCACTTTGAGCATTTTTGTTAATTAAATTTCTTTGAAATTTCCTTTGATTTATTTTTCTCTATTTTTCTAATTTTGTTCTTTTCATTTTCTTTGTCTTCTTTTTTTGTTTGTGTTTTTTCTTATTTTTCTTTTCTTTTCGGTATTTGGCATTTGTTTGTCTCTTCTCAATTGCAGCGATCGCTCAATGAGCTCGGAACATGATTATTCCGATCAATCAGAACATTCGGAGAAATCACCTTTGGTTAGCGCAAGGTTAGACAGTCTCGCTAGGCTATTTTTTAGCAAATCGATGCCAGCGGAAACCGGAAGTAGAGACACAATAGAATCAGTACTAACAACAAGGTTGACAATTATTCTGTTGTTGTTATTTTATTAAACGTTAAAAACAACATCAAAAAAAAAAAAAAAAAAAAAAACGAAAAAAAAAACCAAACCCTTATAATAATAGAAATATATATATATATATATGTATGTATGTATATATAGTTAAACTTAAATTAAATTGAATGCCTATAAATTTTATATTTTTCAAAAGCCAGTTACAAAATACTTATTAAAATTGATATTTATTTCTTATATAGCCAACTACTTGAGTAGATTTTGAAAAGCATGTTTTTATTGTTCTTTCGTTTGTAGTTCGCTTCACCTTTATAGCCCTCTCCACACCTAACCAGTTTGTTGTATTGCTAACAGCTTTTATAATGCCGTCTTTTTTCATAAATATGTCGTTGCTGTTGTCATTTGTTGTTGTTATGCGTTATTTTGAAATATAATCCTAGACATTTTTATTACTCTTTAAGAAACACGGTGCACACTCTGGAGCAATCTTTTTCGCCTCAATATTAACTAAATATTAATCAGATTTTCAGATATAAAACGATTTCATCTAATAATGATAAAGTATAACTTTTTTTTAATTTTTCTTCACATGGAAACATATAAAGAAAATTTTCATTTTTTTTTTTTTTGTTCTTCTTATTATTAATGTACGAAAGTCATTTCAATATGTTATTGTTTATTTGTTTATTTGTTTTTGCTTTAACTAATAGTCTTCACTCACGGTGCTCCATCCAGAGGAAATCAAAAATGTTTCTAATAAAAATAACTCATTATAAAAATAAGTATTACAAGTATGTTATACGATAGTGTAGCTAAGAAAAACGCGTTGGCCCACTTGAAAAATGATATCTAACAAGAAATGTATAACGCGTAAGGATTTCGTACTGGAAAACTCGTTGCACAAAAAACATTGAAATTTAGTGAATGCAATGAGTGCCCAAAGAAACGTCCAGATAATATTTCAGAGCTTGCAGACTTCTCATAAGCTTTTATTATACAGGCTTGGCCAGGCTTAACTGTCATTTACGAGTATGTCGAGTCATGGAAATATGGTAATATGTTGTGCATACTTACACATTTAAGCGTACGTTTTTCGAAAAGATTGTGACAGCTATCTGGCTAAAGATATGTATATTTGCACACTTATGCGTATATTCGCTGCGCCCCTACCCGTTCTGTCTATCTAATGCGCATTTCTCAAACAAACTTATTCTCAAAAACATCAATAAGAAAAGACACCGATTTTTCTCAAGTTATAGCCACAACGTTTTCTACATGTTACACTTAACAACTTAACTTTTTATGACAAATATATATGTCATGATCTGTCCATCCATGCTTGTCGGAAAATTTGGTGAGGATTATTTTTATTTATTATATATTTGTATTTGCCACAATAATGCACTTTAAAAAATATTTTTGTGATTTTGTCAAGTCGTTTCATTACAAAGTGCTTTCAAATTGCATGCGGTCTGGATTTGACGAGTATACAAGTACATCGCTGAAAAGATCGATACACCCAACTATTTAATCTCATAACTAAAGGTTTCTTTTAAAATCCTTAAATAAAGTTAGGAAATATGGTAAATCACTTCAGTCGCTTTGCGGCATTGTCAAGAAAAACTCCGTAAATAAATGCATATTAGCTTTAGTTTGCGATTTCGCGAGTCAACGCTGTCTACATTACACTCAAAAAACTAATCCTATCTTATATGGCTTCGAAATTGTATAAACATATGGCAACATGGTTGATACTTCTATAGAAATAAACGATCCTTACTTCACGGCGTTTAGGTACACTTCGTATTAAGCGTACATAAACGATAAATGCTTTGGTGCAGTAATGTCACGCACACTTGAAAACTTTAATTATTGCAGTGGTAGCATTCGATAGAAAAAAAAATAAATAAAATATAAATTATTCCTTATTATTATTATTGATTAAAATCTCTGCCTAATTCCAGCGACTTGTATCATCTATCTTAGGGTTATTTCAATGTTTGCATATTTCTCATTTTTGGCTCACTTCCAGTCTTGAATGCTTATATGTCGTTCTGAAGATTACCAGATAATTTCAATGTCACACCGAGACACCAACGTCTCATTCGAACATATAAAGTAAAGCTTAAATATAAGATCGCTTGTGGTATATGAAGTTTGTGCGGGCAACCATAAAAACCCAGAACAATTTAAGATAGATTCAGTTTTTATTATACCGATCGATTCAGAAACTAGTTTTGATTTGATCTAGGTTTGTGCGTCCGTTTGTCCGTCTGATGTCGGGCCACCAAGTTTTGTGTTCAAACTACAGGTCGCAACTTCTGAGATGTATTGATGGAATTTGGTATACCAAAGTGTTTTGACGCTATTGAAAATGGTTCGGACCGGTCCACTTTTTCTCCTATTCCTGAAAAATCTGAACTTAATCTTTACGTTGTAAAAAGGTACAATTTTCAACATTTCCCGGTGAAAATTGATTCATAATACTAAATTTACAAAGAAACCAACCTCTCCGAATTTGGACCACATAACTCTATTTTTGGATAACACAGCTTCTAAAGATTCTCAGGAAATATGAGTCCTTGCATGCTAAAAAGGACTCATAATAATATGTTAATAAACAATTTGGCATAAAAATGAAGTCGACCAAATTTGGACCAATGGTACTGTTTCTTGGATTCTAAGCCACGTAAGATCTCTCATGAATAGTAAGACCTTCAGAAAAAGATTTAAGTTTTAATATTTTAACAATTTAGCAAACAAACGAATGGTTAGGAATTTGGACCACAAAGGTGTCTATATTCTAGATATAGGGAGAGAAAGCTAGCTTCTAATTAGGAAGTAGAAGTAAACTAAGTTTGCTAAATTTCACATCAGGTGATGTTTTGAACTTCCTCCAATATGTGAACTTTCATGAAAAGTATGGCTTTGCATGAAAATAATTTTTATTTTATGCAGTGTTATTACCAAAGTGAGTAAATAACTGTACTCGGCAAAGTGGTGTAGGGTATCCTAAATCGGCTTTGTTTGACTGTAATGTTCCTTTGTTTTTTTCCACAAGTTTTCGTAAGTTACGTTAAAATTAATTCCTATTTGTTTGATAAAATTTGTAATATGAGAAAATACGTATATATGTCAAGTGCAATGTACATATATATAGAATATAAATTTTATGACATGTATATGTATATTCATATGTGTAATCTACCGAATTACTATTAGGTTTGGGGTCAGTTCTCCATTAAGGTTATAAGCGTTAATTCAATTATTAAAAAAATTAAAACATTACTTCCAAAAAATGTTTAAAATTGGTAAGACCGGACCGAGACGTTTCAGTGCAAGACCCTCTGCGTTACGCACTGTAACTGGTTTAAATTTAAATTTTAAAAAAATCAACCTAGCTTCCTTTATCCTAGGAACGAGGTAGGTTAATCGAGAAGCATTGACTTTTAAGTGATTAAATAAACAAAAAATTACTCCTTTTATTAATAAAAAATGTTTAGATTAACTCGTCGAGAATATTCTACGCATTTCACAAGAGAACGTTATTTTAAGGATAGTGAAACTTTCGTTTAGAAAAAATGAAAGTTGTTTGAGTTTTGCTGATTGGCTTTTTCGAAATCATATCTCGAGGAAAAAGGATTTAAAGTCTCAAGTGCCCTAACGCGCTTATAGAATTATATTTAAGAAATCAATTTTTTTTCTTATGTCATTCTTGACTATTCAAGGCATTACATCGGCCTTATCTTTTATTCTATGTGTATTATTTTGTATACGCGGACGGATGTACATATATTGAAGTATATATGCAGAGAATTTATTTCTCCGCGATAAAAACATTATCACAATAATAAAAATGGTGGTTTACATATTCATACGGTCTAGATATATAGGGAGATAGAAAGAGAGAAAAGGAGAACCATCACAGATCAGTTTAACTGGAGGCCGCACATATGTTAAATACCTCTTCTTAATAAATTAAATTTTAACTCGCACTTCTTCGATAACTTTTTAAGAGAAAATTTTTGTCGTGAGTGCGGTTCTACTGTAAATATACGATGCAATTGCAACCGTCTTCGTCAATTCGTGAATTTTCATAGTTTTTTCGTTTATTTCGTAGTTTCGTCGGTTCCATTGGATATCAATGACGAAAACATTTTTCCTAATGAAATAAAATTCTTTCTCTTCTCTTACGGTATTTTTTAAAAGAAATGAATGTAACAAAGGCATTGTGTAGGCTTCGATGTTGCTCTACAGTTTCAAAAGTCCATTTTACTATCAATTTCATACGAGTTAAGTAAATGAAATTTTCTTCGACTTAAGAATAAAAAGCGAACGTAAATCAGACGTTCAAACAACTGAACTTCATTTTAAAGTTATTTATAAAGGAATTCTTTACAAAATAATATAAATTCAAATATTTACAGTGAGAATTGTGCTATATTCTCTTTGTTTAATAACATTTCTTGGTATTTTAGTTCAATATTACAACAACGAAAACACAATCAAACTACAAAACTTCATCAATTTAATAAATCATCCTTTTTAATAACAACTTGGGTGTACCGATAAAAATACACAATAATGCACATAAAAGCAAACCAAATGTAATTATGTTCTGCGGAGAGAGATAAGTGGAATTCTGAAGACTTGAAAAAGTAGCTAATAGCATGTGATCCCTTTAAAGCTCTACAACGGAAAACCTACGGGTGGACATAAAGATCAAAAAATTTGTTAGGTTTAAAACGAATTTTCGTAGCCTTACAGATTTTACGTGTCCCTCTTAAGTGAAATTTTTCCGTCAAAATATACAAAAAATAAATTTCAGATGGAAACCCGATCTGAGGACGTCAAACGAAACATCGTTAGGCTAGAGACCTTTTCCAAGAGCAATTCATTCCCTTATTGTCAGCCAAATTGCGCGAATAGTTAGATAATAGTTTCGTTTTTCAAGAATACGACTCGTGTGTGCCGTGTTATAGTGTGTACCGTGCTAAAAACTC